TTAAGATCGATGACTGTTTTCAGAGACATAAACTACGATCACATTTTTTTAACAATATACCCAACGATAACGAATTATATGTTGAACTAAGTCAATTATTAAATTTTAGAAAGATTTTACTATTTGTTGATTACCAAACATATCTAACATATGGGAAAACTACATGTGAAGCTTGTTCTTGGTTTACATACTGTGAAAAATATGTTTACACTTTCTATCAGAACACGCTCTCGACTTGTCAATTGCTTTTGGATACTTTAACAAAACCAACCAGTACCGATTTTTATTTAACGTACAAAGTAAATCTTTGTGAGCACTGCGAAAAATATTTCACAAATTTGTTCATGTGCCAGGTCTACAACGCTCTTTTGGATTTACAAACTTGATATTTTGTAACTAAACATATAGTTCGATCAACTTTACTTTTGTGACCAATGTAAAAATTATTTCTCCGGAATTGCTATGATAAAGGAATTGGTTCGTCTTCCAGAACACAATTCAATCAAACTTTGTGATTTAATGTAAAAACTATTTCCTAATTTATTTATATAAATTCACAAATTTGGAAATTGCTATGATAAAGGAATCGGTTTGGTGTTTGAAAAATATCGGAAGAATCCCATAATTTATTTTTCAGATTTAAATATATATAAACTCTAGTATTTTACTTAGAAACAAAAAAAAAAAAAAGGGTTTTAAAATTGAGATTGGTTCAAACCTATCTTTGTGTTTGATCAAGTTGCAAAAGCTTTTTTTCTGTATCTCACTATTATATTTTGCATTTATTATGTTTAAACGATCTAATTAGTCCAAGACCGATTAGATTTTTCTTCAAGCAATTTCTTTAAAAATCCATCAGTTCAAGAAAGAGGTGAGGGAGATTCACAACCTGTAATAATCTTTACTTTATGTAATAATCTTTACTAACTCTCACTTTCGCTAACTCAGCTACTTCATCGTGGGTTGTTTGTCAACTGGTTTTCATAATTGTGATTCATCTCGAATTATTTATGTTGTAATTTCAGATGCCTAAAGTTTCTTCATTAAAATATTACACGGTTGCTAAAGAAGAAAAAACTAGAATTTTTTTATCATATAAAGAATGTGAAGAATATGTTAAAGGTATTCCTGGAGCTTTGTATAGATCATTTTATACAAAGATCGAGGCTCAGAATTTTATCGATCAACAAAATATCGATGATGATTTAAAAGATGTATTAAATGTTTGGACCGACGGATATTGTAAACAAAATGGATTACCAGATGCTGTCGGAAGTATTGGAGTATTTTTTGGAGATAACGATCCAAGAAATCTGTCTGAACAACTCCCTGGTGAACGTCAAACTAATAATCGTGCAGAAATCTATGCTGCAATTAGAGCTCTTGAAATTTGTGATAAAATGGAAAATCTAATTATAAATACTGATAGTAACTACGTTATCATTTCTAGAGATGTTAAAAGACCAAAAACTAATTTTGATCTAGTTAATAGATTCAATGATTTAATTAAAGAACGCAAAGGGAAAACGTATCTAAAACATGTGAAGGGACATAGTGGCATTTATAGAAATGAAAAGGCTGATAGGTTAGCATATTTAGGTTCAAAAAACCAGCTATTGAATTGACATTACCAGAATGTAAAAATACTATCAAAAAATATTACAAATAATTTTTTTGTATTTTATTTTTTTATTTTTTATTTTTTTTTAATAAACAATATATATATTACGAAAATTAAATGTGATTCGTATTGGCGATTGGGAGGTGAGGGACCCAATCAAAAATTCGTATCAAATAATGATTTAATTTAATAACCACAACCCGTGATAAGCACATGCGAGGCTAGCGGCACGCCAAAAGAAAAAAGCAATTTTCTTTAAATCACACTTTATTTTTTCTAATTAGTCCAAGACCGATTAGATTTTTTTGTATTTAAATTAAAATGTTTTCTCCAGAAATATTTTTTAATATACTAAATTATTATGAATTTACAAATTTTGAGGAAGTTAAAATTATATCACTAGTTAATAAAATGTTTTATAATCTCACGAAAAGCATTTTATTAAATATAACTTTAAAACGAATTAACAATAAATATAAATTAGAAATTAATAACCAAAACAAAGATTGTGACGAATTAAGATTCGATCAAATTTCTACATTATGTCAAGATTGGATTATTACTGAAATAATTTGGAAAAATTCGAATAATTATTTCCAAAAATTTGATTATATTTGTTTAAAAATATTGATTCCTAAAACAATTTATGAAAATTATTTAAAAACTTATATATATTATTATTTTCAACCAAGTAGTTTTATTATAAATGTAAATTCTGATCAAATTTGTTTAATAGAAGATATTTTCAGTTTTATTTATTATCTTCATAGAAACAGAGAAAGTTTTTTATATGGAGAGTCTGATGGGAAGAAAATTTATTTACTATCGGAAGAATTAGTTGAATATCAAATTTCCAAATTTAATTTACGACCGTCACAAAGAAAAATTAACATCTAATCATGATGATGAAGGTCACATAACCGAATATATTCAAATCAAGTTGAGCGATAATCAAAATGCTCTTCTTGATAAAGAATGTCAAGAATTTCTTAAGCAGCATAAATTTGTTCTCGATAAGGCTAATAATATCATCGAAGAAACCACTGAAGAATATTTATTCGAATTACTTTACCCTGAAGCAAAATTAGCAAATATTAAATTTAAGAACGGTTATTCATTTGATTTACGCATTTGTAATATTGAAATTGTTTAAATTTAATTTATTTTTATTAATAAATTATAAATCAAAATAAAAAAAAAAGAAAATTTTATAAAAAAATTCTAAAAAAACAAAACACAACAAAATAAAAAACTAACAATTTTTTAAAAAATTAATCGTTGGCTGGCTCATATTTCTCTTTTAGAGCAATATATTTCTTGTTT